GCTAGAATAATCGATTCTTGGGATTTAAGAATCAATATCGTTCCATAAAAATGAGAATCGATTAATATCGAGATATTTATATTTTTTTACCCAGCCCTAGTCCAGATGTCTCAGATGTGAAGGACTCATCTGCTGAAGGACTGACTGGACTGTCCTGATCTTGAGGCTGGACGTCCTGCATTTGCTGCTCCTCGGCAGTGAGGGGTCTTCAGGAGCACTGGAAGGAGACTCCTGATGATCTTTGTCCTCTACAGAAGACGTCCTGCAGAAAAGTCTGATCTAAAGACAGCAATATCAACCAAAATCTGGGTTTTAATCAAATAATATCTATAATATATTGCATACTCATATTAATTCTTAATTCAGGAATTACGTTTGGTTACTTGAATCTTGATATATTCTGAAATATAACATTTATCACATGTAGTGGAAAAACGTATTTATTTGCATTTGTGTAATGTGATGGTGATGTGTGTCAATGATTAATAGACTTTTTGATGTTCATGTTGATGTATCATCAGTACAGCTCCTGGATGGAGACACACCAGTGTCCTGCTCCTCCTCACTCTGCTCACTCTGAGCTTTGGTGGATTTGTGGGGAGAGAAACAACAGAAGAAAGAAGCAAACCTCCGAAACCTGCTCTTTTTCTGCCTCTTCTTCTTGGTCTTGTCTCCTCTCCTCCTCGCCGATAGTCACAGGCGTCTCTTCAGGAGAGGATGGAGCTCGTGTGGTCGGTGGGTGTCAGTGTTGTCCCTCCGCTTTCTCTCCACGAGATAGTCGCTGTCCCATAATCAGCACGATAAAACGCTATCAACAACTGTAAACTCACGGTAAACACTGTTTATAACACACTCTTTACTCGCCGCGAAGTGAGCAGCTGAGTCTCGCGCTTTATATATTCCCGCGGCACCTTCTGAATTCCTCTGTGATATATCAGCGCTCAAACAGAATTTCTGTGTTAAAATGTTTTTATTCGAGTTTTAGCAGAGGATCTTTTGTAGCTACACTTAAAAAAAAAATGCAAACATATAAGATGTGCATTAGGCCTACAACAAAAATGCATGAAACGAGAGACCAGGAGATTAAAACAGACATTAAAACAATGTCTAATGATGAATGATGTTTTGTGTGTAAAATATTTAGGGATTAAATGGTAGCCTATCATAACAAATAACACGGTACATTTATTTTACAACATATTGTGTCATATATTTTTTCCAACTGTTTTATTTATTCAAATGTAGCCTATAATATATTATTGTTTACTTATATTATAATTTTTTATTATCATTATGTAATGTATGGGACCAATTTATGGGACCATCGTAATTTCGCAAATTGGCACTCATCGTTCATTCTCACATTTTATTGCGAACGCCGTAATAGATTTAATTTAATTTTGCTGGGCAAATACAGCCCCATTATCTTAAATTTGAGGGTATTTTGTTCATTTTGGTGGAATTTTTGATACAACCCCCCGTTAATATCCGGCCCTGATACATTCAGTGGCACATGATGCTCAGAAACACGTTTACCACAAACTGACTGCATTAAAAAAAAAAATTAACGATTTATAAAACGTATAAAAGCTTATAAATACATTTCTTTCTTTCTTTCTTTCTTTTTTTAACAACACCGGATGTGCCACTAAACATAGCGGCACACCAGTGGCTTAATACCGCCTCTCAAAATAAAATAAAATATGGAATAATAAAGTAAAATAAACAATATTTCACTAATGCCATTTAGTTGCGGGATAAAAAGACACATATAAATCGCTCGTGTCTTCCACGCAGCAGGTTGAGGGACACCACGTGACCAGTGGGCTCTCTTAAAAGCGCAAGTGCTGGAAAGATCCTGTAATCACTTACCAACCGACCGAAGCATCCTGGTGAATTCATTACTGTGAATATGTATACCTTCGACTAATCTGAATACTTAATCAACGGAATGTTGCATTGTTTTTAATGCAGTTTAACGTTACTTAACGAGACGGCCACGGACAGCGGGACAATGTATGTGTGACTTGGGTTAGGGTTACTTTTGGGGGTTTAAAAGCGTAAGGAATGGTAAATGAATAAATAAAAACAATAACTAAAAAACTTTACAAATATATAACTCCTTGCTTTAGTCGGCATCTTTGCCTAAAGACAATTTTATCATATTAAATAAATAGAATAAACCACACAGACAATTATTAGTCTACCTCAAAACAGTGTGTTATCAGGCATTTGTAAAACATTAATTTACTTGTATGACACAAGTTGTTTCATAAAGTCTGACAGATTGGGAAAGGAGATTAGCAGCAGCAGGCTTATGGCACAGATCTCTTCATTTGGCATGAAGCCCGACTGTTTCAATTTCAATATAAGAGGTATATTTGCACCACTGACATAAAACTATATTAATCATGAACATAAATATTTGTCTGTCTTTAGCTGATTAGGATGGAGGTGACATTGCGCATACTGTATTTCTCATGCCGCACAGGTGAGTTTATGTTTAGATGTGATGCAGCAGTCTGAGAATATCTGATGTTGTATTTATTGCTCGTACTGAAGCAAAATTGTTTTATTTCATTAAGGCACTTTCGCAGCCAGACTTGGACCTGCCCGTCCCTTCAGCCGTACCATCCACAGGGGAGGCTACAGTAAGATCATACACAAATAGACCTGCATTCTCACACCCTACACAATGTCCTACAATGTCCTTCTCTCTGACTCTCTATAGAAAATGTGAATGCTGAGGAGTTGCCTATGGACATGAAGTCCATCACAGACCGCGCAGCACAAACACTGCTGTGGACCGAACTGTTCAGAGGTGTCTGCTTGTTTACATCTTTTTCTGCCTGTATTTATGGTACTTTTTTTTGCATTTGGACCAACATGCTGAGGCTTTGCAATATATAAATTTGTGTTGTTCGAATACATAATAATGATCATAATAAATTGTTGTTGTTGTTCTTATTATTATCCTCATTATAAAAATAATAATATTATTATTCATGTCAAAACCTGCCATACAGAGACAGAATATAATAATAATAATAATTATTATTATTATTATTATTCTGTGATCATACTTATTCTTATTTTATTATGTAATTATATTATTAATTTTATTATTATTATTATGTTATGTTCTGTGTCTTTTGCATGTTTGGATATTATTAATAATAATAATAATAATAAATATTATATTGTTTTTCTATTATTATTATTATATTATGTATCTGTTGCAGGTTTAGCCATGAATAATAATAATTATTATAAACTAATGATATTCAGATAATAATAATACAAACAAAAAATAACAACACTAATTTATTATTATTATTATTATTATTATATTCTTCGTCTGTATTGCAGGTTTGGGCATGACCATGAGTTATTTGTTTAGAGAACCAGCTACTATTAATTATCCATTTGAGAAAGGCCCTCTCTCTCCCCGTTTCCGTGGTGAACATGCACTGCGCAGGTATCCAAACGGAGAGGAGCGCTGTATTGCATGCAAACAGTGTGAGGCTGTGTGTCCTGCTCAGGTACATATATATATATATATATAACAGTGTTATTTTATTATCAATGAGATACTATTATAGTTTTTATTTTTAACATTTAAAATTTTGTTGTTTTGAATTCTTGTTTTTTTTATGTCTATAGAATATTTATTTCAGTTTCAGTTTGAGTTATTTTAATACATCAGTTCAAACTAAATGAAAATAAGAAGTGTATTCTTGGCAACTACTCTAGCTGAAATAAAATGATTTATTTTAAGTTTTTAGCTTCATATTTTATTTTATTTCAGTTAAAGTCTATTTGATCTCAAGTAACAAACGTTTTTTATGGTTTCCGTTTTAGTTAGTTTAGTGATTAGCTCTGCAGGATGTGTGTCAGCAGTGCTTTTGTCTCCTGCAGGCCATCACTATAGAAGCAGAGACCCGTGCAGATGGCAGCAGAAGAACAACCCGTTGTGACATTGACATGACCAAATGCATCTACTGTGGATTCTGCCAGGAGGCCTGTCCTGTGGATGCAATCGTAGAGGTATACACACATGCATTACACTGAGACATAAGATACAAATAGTTGTACTACATATAGATTCAGTAGATATAGCTGATGTGACACATCACAGAGAAGACATTTAGTCCAAAACAGCTGAAGTTATACACTGGTTCCACTGATAATCTAATCATTTCCCCCTCTCTCTGTGCCAGGGCCCTAATTTTGAATATGCCACTGAGACTCATGAAGAGCTGCTGTATAATAAGGAGAAACTGTTGAATAATGGAGATCGATGGGAGGCTGAGATTGCTGCTAACATTCAGGCAGATTACCTGTACAGATGAACCATGAAAGCTCAGACAACATCCTGATAACAGCAAAAAACAACAGCAAATCAATAGAAAACATCATTTCAGAAGCTGCCTGGATCATATAGTGAAACTGGCACTTTGCTGTCTAAACGCACAAAGCAAGCGCGACACACAATGTAATGTGCAATGAATGTTTATATATCTGTATTACATAAAACATTCAAACATAGCAGGTTATACTCAGGGGCACATATTACGCACAATTATATATGAAAAATTCACAGCGAATTCACATATGTATTTCTTCTCTGATAAAGTGATTTAATGACAAAATAAATTATGGTGTACTTCTTTAATGTGATGTTAATAAATGTTGATAATTTAACTGTTTAGATTACAAATATTATTATTGTTGGCTATGTTTACTTAGGCCTATATCGTATTCAGCCTACATTATTGTATAAATGTGAAATATATATTGTACATCCAATAATATTTTTAACATTTTATGTATATATTATATGAAATTGTTAATTATATATTATTTCATGTAGTCGAATATAATAATATGAACACAGAAATCTGTTATTTAAAGCAGTGCATTCAAACATAATAGGTTATTCCCAGAGCACATATTATGCACAGTTGTATGTGAATATTAGAATTAGCATATTTGTTTATTCTCTGAGAAAGTGACTTAATGATATAAATAAAACTATTAACAAATTATGGTGTATTTCTTGTCTTATAATGATAATAATTAACTGTAATGATAACTCACATTGTATATTCCATAATATATTGTATTATACATAAGAGCACCTTCTGTATTTCATATTTTATTCTATTTCTAGAACTTATTCCAGTTCTCAGGCTACAGTCCACCATATGTAGCCTACTTGTATCTTTTGTCTCACAGTTCCTGTTTGTTCCCAAAACAATAGTGCATTACAGAAATTAAATATTTATTAAGCACAATTATGTGTGAGTGTCATATATTTGTTTACCCAGTGATTGAGGTGTATTAAATCAATCATCATAGTGTATTAAACATTAGGCTACATTACATCAAGGTTTCCCAAACTGGGTTTGTGAAGAAACTGCAGGGGGTTTATGAGTTCAATGAAAATCTAATAATTAATTAATTCATAAAAATGTTAAATTAAAATAAATAATTCTAAAATGAATCAAAATCAAAAATTAATATTTTATTTGTTTACCTGCATGCATATGACTATAATCAGTGTCAGAGAACCATGAACATGCAAATGTGATACTTCATTATTAAAATATTTATTTTAAAATCTCAGGGGGACTTCAAATAAAAATACTGTATATTAGGTGAAAGAGGATCAGATGCCAAAAAAGTTGGTGAATTTGTGCATTTTAATGTTTTGAACAACAAAGTAATACATGGCAAAATAATCACCAATTATATAAAATAATGATAATTCAAATAAAAATGAATGTGTTCATCAGTAGCAGGGGGACTTCAAATAAAAATACTGTATATTAGGTGAAAGAGGATCAGATGCCAAAAAAGTTGGTGAATTTGTGCATTTTAATGTTTTGAACAACAAAGTAATACATGACAAAATAATCGACTGAGTGATAATTCAAATAAAAATGAATGTGTTCATCAGTAGTTGATGCAATGTTGAAACACTTCTTAAACCTGTAATGATTTTTTGTAAATCCAGTGGTCAAATGCAATGTAGCCACTAATGACTGATCTGTGTGAATGTCCACTAAACTGGAAGACTTTCTAAGTGTATATAAGCAGTAGTCTATTTTAGAAAGGAAAGCTTAAAAGATGAAAAAGAGGAATTTGGGATAAATTATGAATAAATTATTGCAGTTGTGTAAATAATATGTAATCATGTAATCAATAAAAAAAAGTAGGCTAACAGTAGTCTGATTACGAGTAGGCCTATTTTATAGTCTATTTTAGAAAGGAAAGCTTAAAAGATGAAAAAGAGGAATTTGGGATAAATTATGAATAAATTATTGCAGTTGTGTAATCATGTAATCAATAAAAAAAAGTAGGCTAACAGTAGTCTGATTACGAGTAGGCCTATTTTAAAAATATGAGTACTTAATTTTTGGATTCTGATTACGCAATCCACATGTAGCCTACATAATATGCACGTAATCAGTTACTGTCCAGCTCGGACAGTGAGCATTGGAGTTGATCGCGCGCTGTGACGCCAGAGGGCGCGATCGTCGCGCGGCGCCGCTGCGTCACGTGGTTGGGCGGAAGCGTTTATGTGAGCCATGCTGAATCCCGCGCGGACGCAGCCATTTGCTCTCTTCCTCGATCGCTTCAGCACCGGTGAGTACGGGACGCCGCCAATCCGCGCGCCGCGAGCGCCTTTCACAAAGACGCCCTGTTTTCCGCCGAACACGAAACACGCCCGAAAGCCCTTGTTAATTACTGAAGTTGTCTTAAGTCGCTCGGATCGCTTTTAATCGCCGCTGATGTGGAGTTATGAGTGTTTGATCACGGCTCGTCTCTGTCGCAGCGCGCGATGCTGGCGGGAACAACGCTCGCTTTGTTCGCCTCTTTGACAATTTCACTCGTTTACCTTCGTTTAAATGCGTCATGTATTGATTTCCGCGTTGATGGCCTGTTTGAGGCCTTTATAAGCGGCTCCAGAAGCAGCGGCCTCGTGTGTTGGCGCGCATCCTTTTATTTAGACGCGGGAGTTGTTCGTTGCTGAACACAGTCGTTTGTTTTGAGTTTCATATGCTGTTTGACTTTTAATATGAGTGAGAAAGTCGTATTGTTGTGGAGTTTTGTGTAATTGTGGTTGTATTTTGTGACTGGTGCGGCCTTGTGTGTGCTGTGACTAACCGTGTCCCGCCATCTCTCCCGCAGAGTGACTGCAGCACAAAGACCAACACAGCAATGGCAGAGAACGAGCCACAAGTTCAGTTCAAGGTAACCAAACTAAAACCTTTAAAGTGACGACAGGCTGGAGTAACGAATTAAAGAGTCTGTTTACTTGTTAGCGCTAAGAATTGCTAAACGGTTTGGAAGTGAATTAGCAGATTTGTACGCGATAACCAACGCTAAGATAAGAGACTGAGAATATATAAGGAGAATTTGTTTTTCGTGTAATTTCAGTTCTGCTGTGTAATTTACTGTGTTTTACACATTTAAGTAGTGCGTCGTCACAAATTACATACTTTCTCTCTCTAAAAAACTTGCTGTTTTTGTTTCTGCTAATAATGTGACTGAAAATTACGCCTGCCCAAGTCACAATTTTATTGATTTTACTGTAAGGCAATTATGGTGCTGAGAGGAATTATAAACCAAATACATACATATAAATAAAACAACCATTTAATACTTTTGAAACCTAATATTTTCTAATGAATCAGGTGCTCATTCAAGATGGGGCTGTTAACACGAATGTCCCCACTGACATAATTACATGTAATATGAAAATTATATATGCAACAGAGTATTGATAATTCACAGCCTCAACCCGTGTTTTTTTTTTAAACAAATATTGTTCTTTATAGAAGACTAATCCAATAAAACAAGCAAAAACTATGCTGTGCATGATTAAGACTGCATGATAAGGAGATTATGCAAAATAAGACCGTAATTATCACAGAAATATCCATGGAAAACCTGCTATTGGCACAGTTTTTCCAGTTATCTGCCAGTTATTCGCAATCATGTGTGTATATATATATATATATATCACACCTCTAAAATGATATTACATTTATAACAAACCCAGTTATAATATAATTGTGTTCATGTGACTGTTCACACCAGCCATTTAATAATGTTTACATGAAATCAAGACGGTGGAAATTAATTTATCATCCAACTTTGCATAAAATATATCAACCCTTCAAATTTGTAAACAAATTCTGATCATGAATAACACATGGGATTATATGGGTTACCTTATGGCCTCAATTTATATATTTGTTCAGGATTTAAGTACCAGTATTCTGTGTAGTTTTACAATGAGTCTCACAAAAGAGCATTTAATTATTCAAGCCGTAAATTCTTATTTGAAATGGATACAGTGTAGTATTTCCTTACTGCTTTGGCTTTGTGACATTAACTACTGTAAAACCGGTTGTTTGGGAACAATGTTGGTCACTCATGCAAACTGTTTCTCGTCCACAGCTGGTTCTGGTAGGAGATGGAGGTACGGGGAAAACCACCTTTGTGAAGAGACACTTGACTGGGGAGTTTGAAAAGAAATATGTTGGTAAGTTTTGCATCACATGGCATCTCGACGCAACTCTTCTGGAGGAATGTGTGGCTTTGGTGCGACAGAGTCACCGCAATGGGCGGCTTTTAAATTTCTCTCTGTCCTCTTAGCCACGCTTGGAGTTGAGGTACATCCCCTGGTCTTCCACACTAACAGAGGAGCCATCAAATATAATGTATGGGACACAGCCGGACAAGAGAAGTTCGGAGGCCTGAGAGATGGATATTATATCCAGGGTATGCAGCTTTTATCATATATACACTATACACCTTTACTGTCCAGCAGTGGTTTAACATGTGCATCTGTCTCATTACAGCTCAGTGTGCAATCATCATGTTTGATGTAACTTCTCGAGTGACCTATAAAAATGTGCCCAACTGGCATCGTGACTTGGTGCGTGTGTGCGAGAACATTCCCATAGTGCTGTGCGGTAACAAAGTGGACATCAAGGACACATACGAGGAATTTGTTTTAGTGACAGAAGCTCCACAGTGCAACAGAATGACACGGATAATAAAAAGAATAATATGCAAAAACACAACATGAATGTATGGTACAATATGGAAATTATCTGTGACTACTTCCAATTCAATGCAACTTCAAGTTATCAGCTTGTAGACAATAAGTGCATTAGTAAAGACTGAATGTCAGGCTGATATTGACTGTAAATGTAAGGATAAATCGACGTATCCTTCTCTCTCTTCCTCAGTACTATGACATCTCTGCCAAGAGTAATTATAACTTTGAGAAGCCCTTCTTGTGGCTCGCACGGAAGCTGATCGGCGACCCTAATCTGGAGTTTGTCGAGATGCCTGCCCTTGCACCACCTGAAATTGCTATGGATCCATCACTTGCTGCACAGTATGAGCACGACTTGAAAGTAAGTGCATCATGGAGAATATACCTGCTGCTGCTCCCAAATGTGTTCCCGTTTAATCCGTGCTGATCTGTAATTGTCATTTCTCTTCTAGGTGGCATCAGAAACAGCTCTCCCAGATGAAGATGACGACCTTTAACCTGTTAGCGTCTGACCTCCTTATGGTAAATGTCACTGGGATTTCCTGGTGACGGTTCCTCCCCCTGCCCCTTTTACTGTAAAACCCCAGCGCAGAATATTTTTATTTTTCAGTTTTTGGTTTGTTTTGTGTTTTGAATTGGAGTCAATCGTGTGGTTCATTTCTTTGTAGACATGCTAACTGTTGCCACCAGACACGCACATGCAGACATGCCTACACTGACACACACTCACTCACTCAGAGGTGTGAGAGCAGGTCGAGTGTCCCAGTGCTTACTTCTCTATGTAAGGCTCTAAGCACTTGGAATAAAAACATTCTCAATATAATAATCCTTGCTTGGTCTTTTTTTGAGCAAAATAACTGTCAGAGTGAACATTTTAAATTGTGGTGGGCTGCTTGTGAAACAGGACTGATAATTTCCCTTTTTCCATTCAGTTGTTTACATGTAAAGCATTTTTCTGAAAGTTTCTTTTGCATTTGCTCAGACAAAGAAGCATAGTATTGCTCTGGTCTAAAATGTGAAGTTGCTAGTCATTGATTGTGATATTTAAATACTGTGGGTATTTTTGTTGTGCAAATTGCTGTCGAGTCTAACAACAATCCATGGCGTCCATGAGAATAGAACAGCATGTACCTAGTTTAAGGTATGATGTGGTATTATATAAATATGGGTGAGGTGTCTTGCGTAAACTGACTCAGGTGTTCAGTGCAAGGCAAAATCTCATTGTTCATACTGAGGAGTCAAACCGTTTTACTTGTTTTTTTTTTTATGTACATGTTTGAAGAGTTACTAGTATGTAAAATGATGCTATGCCAGTAAACATGAAATGGGCACCAAGTATTGGAAAAGTTAGTAAAAGTCACTTTTTAAAAATAGTCTATTAAATGGTATACTAAATTTGATAAAAAGGTTCTTAACATTGTGAAAATGTAATAAATATTAAATTAAGCATCAGTCAATTAGACAAGAAAACAATAGGCAACAGCACATGGGGAAAAATTATTACAAATATTTTTGTAAAATTAATACATTTAAATTTTTGCATGGCATTTACTAATGTTAAAATAATATCAGCTATGGACGTGTAATGTTGGGCATTAGTATATATGTGTGTTCTGGTTATTCTGTATTTGGCACATGCAAATATTGTCACATTCTATACTTGCATAATAATAACGTTAAAATTATGAAGTTGAGTTTAAGTGGCTGCACAGTTAATAAGTCCTCGGAGATGCCACAGGCCGAAATCCATCTAGACATGTTTAAAAAATATTTAAATTATCACATTATAAGGGAAAATACGATGTATTTTTAAGTGATTTAAATTATCGTGGAATTTGTGTATCCCATGATGAACATTCAACATGGAGCCAAGACTTCAGTATCAGTTATAAAAACTGTTATAAGCAATTTTATATTTATGCATTATATTTACGTTAATGATTTTTATTTAAAAATAGTATAATATCAAAAGCTGCCTTCATCTCTATTGGCTGACTTTACAAAATGTGACCATAGTTTCTTGTCAAAATACAGTAGTCCAATAATCAGTTACTACTCTAAAGTAATATGAGGTTCTCCTTCAAACAATGTAAGAAGTCTGTCGTTTTGTTTTTGATGACTGGTGTAATAAAACAATCAGTAACTGTACTTTTTCGTAATAATGACGCAGCGCAGTTCCTTCGTACTGCGCCATAATACAATGGTACCAGCAGAGGGCAGAAGATAGTCATTTATCTCACTCGTGAGAGCTACGGGTTCACAAACTTTCAGAAGGAAGGGTTTAGTGATCACAGACAGCCATGATGATGGGTTTGACTGCGCTGCCTGGTGTAATAAAACAATCAGTAACTGTACTTTTTCGTAATAATGACGCAGCGCAGTTCCTTCGTACTGCGCCATAATACAATGGTACCAGCAGAGGGCAGAAGATAGTCATTTATCTCACTCATGTGAGAGCTACGGGTTCACAAACTTTCAGAAGGAAGGGTTTAGTGATCACAGACAGTCATGATGATGGGTTTGACTGCGCTGCCTTATCCGCTTAGTGTTGACAGAGCAGAGAGGGTTAATGAATGTCAGCTCTCGTGCTTCATGTGTGGTGAAGTGGCCTATACTCATTGATCTTTAACTCCGTCCGCTGTAAGTGTGTGAGAGAAAAAAATTATATTGTGTTTTTTTTTAAGACAAGAATAATTAGTAGAAACTAAAGAAAATGTGTTAGTATAATGAATACCTACCATAAATATTAGTTAGTAATGCAATAGTTTCTGTTATTTAAATGATTATTAGCTATTACGGGCAAATTGGGTATAAAAAATATATTTATTTATTTTACATTTACAGTAAATGGTCAATGAAAAGCAGTGTCAACTTTCTGGAAATGCAATACGTATTCAATGAAACTTCTAAATGAATCAGACAAAGAAATGTATTAAAACAGAATTGGCAACAATGCACAAAATATGTGAGAAAGTTGTTATGTAGGCTAATTAAAATTAGTTCATTACAAATATTTTCATTAAAATAAGGTTTAAATATTTATTTTAATATATACATTTAATAATTATGGCATTTTTTTATTATAATAGTTAGATATAGCCAATAAAGTTTCATTTAAACTGAAAAAAAAAATCATAAAATTAACTTAAACTCCTTTTTTCAAATTCAAATTATTTAAAAAAAAAATATCTTTAATTTCCCTATTGTGCGGGAATTACAGATGTTTGATATATTTATAGCCTAATCACTTCCTGGCAACAATGCACAAAATATATGAGAAAATTGTTATGTAGGCTAATTAAAATTAGTTCATTACAAATATTTTCATTAAAATAAGGTTTAAATATTTATTTTAATATATACATTTAATAATTATGGCATTTTTTTTATTATAATAGTTAGATATAGCCAAGAAAGTTTCATTTAAACTGAAAAAAAAAAATCATAAAATTAACTTAAACTCCTTTTTTCAAATTCAAATTATTATTTTTTAAAAATATCTTTAATTTCCCTATTGTGCGGGAATTACAGATATTTGATATATTTATAGCCTAATCACTTCCTTCTCGTGCTAGGTTGATTTTATATTATTTTAAAACATCTAACAGCTATCACAAATGGAATCGGTGCCATTTGATTTTCAAAAAGGCCATGCATGAAATGTCCCAATGGATTCAGTAAAACTGAAACGGTTTATAGTCAATATATCGGAATATCTATTTGATCAGTAAAACTTGACCAGACCACCGGTCTTTAGTATGTGATGCATTGCTATCAGCAAATAGCACATTTGCTTGAAAATAAAAATAAAAATGGCACATTGAAACAGTTTCAGGGAATAAATATGGATTGTTTATATTATTTTAAAACATCTAACAGCTATCACAAATGGAATCGGTGCCATTTGATTTTCAAAAAGGCCATGCATGAAATGTCCCAATGGTTTCAGTAAAACTGAAACGGTTTATAGTCAATATCGGAATATCTATTTGATCAGTAAAACTTGACCAGACCACCGGTCTTTAGTATGTGATGCATTGCTATCAGCAAATAGCACATTTACTTGAAAATAAATAAAAAAAATGGCACATTGAAACAGTTTCAGGGAATAAATATGGATTTGAGTGCACACACCTAGGTGAGAGAGAGAGAGAGAGAGAGAAAGAGCGAGAGAGAGAGAGCTCTTTCAGACCGATTATAACGAGAAAAGAGGGAGAGGGAGGAAAACAGATTAAGCAGACTGAACACAACTGTTGTTTTAATCCTCTGAGCGGATAGATTTAGAGGAAAAAACTCCTGGTTTGGAGAAGAGCAGCCATATTGCATGGAGCTGGTGCCATAACAAGACACAGCGGAGCAGGAATACGAGGACTTCAGGAGCGGACGCTACTTTTGACTCTGACTCGCTCCTATTTATTATTTATTTATTTTATTTTTAGACAGTGTTAACCAATAGATTGAAAGATGAAGGACCGACTGGAGCAACTAAAGGCGGTAAGTGTCTGCTTCTATTTCTTGTTCAGTAAACGCGACGGAGGCGAGCTCTTATTCACACAAGTGTATGGGAATGACATTATATACGCAATGGAGTTCAACTCAAACCTCCTCTTCAGATTCAGTGCTGTTAGACTGTGATGATAGTATGAAGAAGGAACATTTAGTAACGTTTTGTACTTTTTGTGGCTGTTGATCCAAAGAGAAATTATCTAAAAGTTAAAAAGCGTCTAAAATGGAGTCTGTGTGGATGAGTGTCCAACAAGTGCTCACTGAAGGCAGCATAAGTTATATTAGATGTGGTGTAAGGAGTGAATAGAGGAGAGTAGACACTGCTGGACAGCTGATGTGGTCACTTGACTCATGGAGGGGGTCACGGGCCTCTGGAGAGATGGGGATGATCTTAAAATGCTTATTGAAAAATAAACAAATAACAATAGACAGAGTTTGCCATCCATTCCGTTGCCACACTAACCAAAAATAAAATGTACAAAATAAATAAATAAAAATAAATTAAATTAAATAAATAAACCAACCATAGTTTTGTTTTTCTGCTTTTTGGGCATTTACCATGATGTTCGGACATGTTTTTTTGTTGTTGTTGTTGATGTTGTTGTTGTTGCACAAATTTCATGTTTTTTTTTATGTATATGCCCCATAGTACTAACATTTTATTTATATGTACCATGTTTTTCAGACATATAATCCTGTACTACCATGTTTTATGTAGAGTATAATGTACCATGGTACTACTATGGTACTATGTTCTTTGTTTTTCAGATATATGCCCTAATGCTACCATGTTTTTGTATACCATGCTACTAGGCAAAACTACCATGGTTTTTGGCCATGTATCATGATGGTATTGGCAAGGTTTTTTTTTTTTTTGACTTATAACCCAATAACCTACTACCACATTTGGGGCATGTATCATAGTGCTGCATATTTTTTTTTATATGTAACATGTTTTCAAGCATAAAACCCAAAATTAGCACATTTGTGGGCATGTATGATGGTAATACCATGTTTTTTTGATTATGTACCATGTTTTTCAGACATATAACACTATACTACCATTTTTTTTTATTATGTACCATGTTTTTTAGATTATAACCCAATGCTACATGTATCATTATGGTACTACCATGGTTTTTGATATATACAGTGTTTTTAGACATGTAACTCAATACTACCTTGGCATTTGGGCATGCTTTTAACCTGCACACTGAATCCTGTCTTGGTGTGTCATATTTTCAGACATGTACCATGTTACTACCATGTTTTTTCTGGGCATATATAATTTTTTTTAGACATGATCCATGAAACAACAAAGCTTTTTCGGCATGTATTATGGCAGTATGATGGTATTTTTTTCAGGCAAATTGAAGTGTGCACTAAATTTTGTGATGCATGAATATGGTATATCAAAGTGCTATGGTATTACCGCCTGATGACATTACTGTAGAGTGTATGATATGATACTAGAGTACTGTTGGCAGGGATTGGTAGGGCTGAGTTTATTCGGATGTTTTGGAGAGGGTGTCAGATCTTATGGGCAGGGTCAGAGGTGAGGATTTGTTTCTGTGGCGACTCTGCCTCAGTCAAATATTTCCTTTGTTGACTTTGTTACCTGAAGCTGCCGAGCAGGCAAGAGGAACTTGTGCATGTGTGTTTATGGCCGAACCTTATTTACATTAGTCATAGTTGTGTTTCCGTGCTGTTTTGCATACAGAAAATCTCACTCAGGTTTTTTTTTTGTTGTTGTATGGTCCTTTTAGTGGTTTAATCTTTAAACGTTTCTTTGTTAAGGTACGAAAATATCAGATTTTTTTTTTACCAGTTTTATAGTCCACCAGGGCAAAACCTTAAGTCCAGTCACTTTAATAGCACAAGTTGCATGATTTGATCATTCAGCAGGCCTGGAAGAGTTACTCCATAAAACTTAATACTAATTACACAGTAAAGTGCTTTTTGTAGGTTTAGGTGTTTGTTCAAATCTTTAACCTTAACTATGAGTAATAGTATTAGCGATACTTGTCTTAGCAAACAGCACTAAAATCAGTTGCTTGGGGGCATGTCTGCGTGTGACCCTCTGTGCTGTAGGAAATCCTGCTGAGAGTAAAAGATCTTCCGCTCTAACCTCCCAATACCTGGGTTTTTCTGTCTGTGTCTGCCTGTAATGTTTAACTTGGTGTGGCCGCACTGTTCTCCTCTTCTTTGTGTGTATATAAGAGTGTTATAGGCTCAGTATACACACACACACACACACTGGTGCTCTTCTTGGAGCACTAAAGGAACTGTGGGACATTAAACAGCTGAACACTGTGTGAGAGTGAATTTGTTTTTGTGTCCTTCCGGGATCTCCAATAGCCCTACTTCTGTAAGGTTAGCAGGATGATGAGTGAAAAACACACTGTATCGCACACATTATAGACTTTACTCTTAAGGCACACTGTTAACTTGAACTCACTATACTTTAATCTAGTAAGACGCTATCTCTCTCTCTCTCTCTCTCTCTCTCTCTCTCATTTTCCCTCAGCAGGAAGTCTCTTGTAGACTTATCTCTTTACCTCAGTTCACAGCTTTTCCAGCACTCTGCATTCGTGTGTGTGTGTAAGTGAGTGTCTTTGACCTTCACAAAAACCCGTTGGTTTGGCAACACATTGTTGATACTACAAATAAACTTGAAAAGAGAGCTGATGTCTTTGTCAGCAGGATGGGTAAAATTACATTTTGTCACAGGAACAGTTCAGCTGAAATTCTTTAGTACAATCTCAGTAAGTGCTTGTTTTCATAATATTTCATTATGTTAGACCTTAGTTGATAGTCTTTTACAAAAATGTACTATGTTAAGTAACCAGCTGCCACCAAATTAGTCCTACACCTGACATGCATGGAAAAAATACATTAAAAATATTTATTTAATTATATCAAAACAAGGGAATGAATTAGGCTATTGATTTGTGGCCATAATTTAACTAAAACGTGGGAACTAATTCATAAAACGAGGGAACTAATTCTTAATTTGTGGCTGTATTTTAACTAAAACAATGGAACTAATTAATAAAACGATGAAACAAATTCATAATTTGTGGCCACAATAAATATACATTTGTCCTACGGGCTCTGTAGATATAGAAAAATTATTGCTTGGGTCAGAGATTCATACGTCACCCTGCAACATTCATGTTATCAGCATGAATAATACAATTAATTTAATGTTATTGCCAATAGTAAAGGGCTCATGAAATGCATTTGTAAAATTATTTCATAATGTTTCCTGAGGTGTGTTTATAATCTTAGTTTCTTTTTTCATCAAAAACAGTCACATTTAGATATTAATGGTAATTTTCTACCCTGATTTCATTGCATGCTTGCTGTGAGACGCCAATCTAAACGGCCGCTGCTATGATTGGCTAACATCTTTGCATATGAAATGAACATTACATGTGGAGCTCTCTAGAAAACATTTACTGTGTTTTTCTGCAACAGCCGCAAAGATTAACTGATTGTGAGAAGTGTTGATTACAGCATTATATTTAGAACGACTCCTGTTGCATCAATGTAGCCGAACACAGTCTACTGACACACAAATATCACAATGATCTCCTTATTGCAACACAATTTCTCCAGTCTCATGCATAGGTTCATCATAACTAACACAGTGAGAACTCAATGTAAATAACAGACTGGTTGAGCAGTGTAAACTGTGTCATTGATCATGATGGCAGTCTTTGTGAAAATGCAGAAATCAGATGATCTTGAATTGTAACTATAATCATTTACAGTTACTGAGAGAAAAATGTGTAATTAAATTAGTCACTTATGAAAATGTTAACGATTACAAAGGGGATACATCTGAATTTTTTCACACACACTCATACAGATTTAATTGACTTCTTTCATAAATTGCAGTGACTGCTCTAAAATATGAGACACCAATATTTCAGGAGTTTAGTACACAGAATAGGACGTGTTTATTCAATAACTGTTTTATTTCCTATTTGGGTTTATGTATATGCTTTATTTTTTAAGATTAACTATTTCTTCCAAGCCGGCGCGTTTCCATTACAGATTTGCGCAAAACTTTGGCGATATTTTATAAATGTCGATAAAAAAAAGTATTGCGAAATGACGGCGTTTCCATTAACCAATGTTATGCGACTAAATCGTAACCTTTTGCCTCTCGCGATAAGTCGTGGCAACGGATTTTGGTGGGATTTTGGCTATATTTATTCAAAGGAGGCGTAAGCGTGTATCTTTACAGAAGCAGCACAGAGAGCCGCTTCAGAAACGTGCGTGGCGCGGCTGGAATAAGCACAAGCATTGAGTGGCCGCAATCAGCTTCAGTGACCGTATCAGAGCCACACTGCAACCGCAGACGTGTGCAGTGTAAATTGTCTAAGCATTAATGGTAGGGAAAGCCCCTTATACTGGAGAGCGGCCACGTAAGAAGTGTTTCTTGGAGGTTATAGTACATTGAAGAATGATCATATGACTTTTTACATACGCCATGTGACCTGGAAATGCGGAAAAAACGCTTCCATTGCAATTTTGCGTATTATTCCTTTTTCGCATTGCCTGAAAAACCACCTCATGCGAGCGTAAAAACTTTTTTGCGATATATGGGCGTTTTTGCGAAATTGACGCGTTTCCATTAGGCGTATTTTCAATTTGCGCAATTTGAAGGGTAATGGAAACGCGCCTGTTAGATACCAGTTTCCTGTCATAACTATGCAAAGGTTTAATTTCAAAAACAGCATCATAGCTACTAAACAATTTCTTGTTATGATTTTAAATATTTATTTAACCTCAGAATGATCTCAAAATAAAAAGAGGTTCTAAAGTCTGATTTTGTGGTGGCTGTGCTTTAAAATTAAATTATTATAATCTTAATTCAAGTGATGAAGGATTTTGAAAGTCTGACAGTGATCAGTGTTGATACCGTAAGGTTAACCCTTCCTGGTTTACATGTTTGAAAATGATTAACAGTTGAAAAC